TTTGTGGGTTCGAGACTCACAAGGCCACAGGCTCGTGCTGCTACGCCACTACAATTGCGGGAAACAGCAACGATGCCAATAGAATCCGGACCAGGCTGCACACAATAATTAAGTCCAAATCAAGGAAAATAAAATAATCAAAATAAAAACAAAATAAAAGGACAAAAATAAGGAACTGATTTTTTAGTCGAAAAGTACCTTCATCCCAATCATCTGGACCCAGTCGACAGCAGTTCCAGTAGCCTTTCCAAGGAACTCTGCCAGGGTCTCCTCAGCTATAGCGAGAAGACTAAAAAATATAAACCACAAGCAAAAAAAAAAATGGTCAGCAAATACGAAAACATATAAAAACAAGCTGGTATTTAATTACTGAGCTTGCTTGGATACAAATTTATCCAAAAAATTCAATCATTTTTTTAACTCAACTTTAACTGGACTCCATTATCCTCAATATTATCAATATAATTAAATAATATCACTCAATCATTCTTACACATACATCAACTTTAATTCATTATTCGTTTGCCCGCATAATTTTAACTAACCATGACTTCACATCGTCTCTCTTACTTTTACATCAAAATCAACTTTAATTATTTTATTTTAAATATTATTTTAATATAAACTCAAATCCCACTAACAACTAATCATACTACTTTTTTTCAAAACTAACCATACCAAACAAAAAAATCTAAACAAAATCAAACAATTATTATTATTTAATTTTCAGACAAGCAAAATATTAAAAAAAAAATTACCCAGCTGGGCTGTTTGCATCCCTCTGAGGGTGCTGAGGAGTTGGGTTCTTTTGTTGTTGCTGACCACTCATTACCACAGAGTCACAACTCGTGTCAGTAGTGGTCGTGCTTACCTACATTTAAATAGAAAAGATGCAAATTTTAAGAGAAAAATTAGAAGAAAAATGCACAAATACAATTATTCTAAAAATAACACATACACACACACAAAAAAATAAGAGCCTTACAGTATGGAGTTGCTGGCGCATGTAACCGTTTTCATAAACCAACTGTGAGACTTGTTTTTGAAGGCGATCATTTTCTTCCATAAGCAGCTTATTCATGGCAGTCAGCTTTCGGTTTACAGTCTGGAGACGGGATGCTTCTTTTCTCTGTTTTTCGCGACATCTAACATGAAAAATAAAATTAACAAACTATTAAATATGCTGCAAGCAATAAGAAAAAAACATTCAAAATCATAAAAGGTATAGATGGATATTGCATTGTACATACTTGTCAACATATCGGATACTAGCTAATCTATGCAGAAATTTTTCAACAGAGGCAGCTAATATACATGCAAAATCATAAAAAGGGGAAATTGAATAAGAATAGATACTCAAATTCTCATAGTTTCATGCCAAGGGATTAAAAGATTATGTTTAGAATTCTCAGAAGGCTAACAAATGAAAATTCCATAAGTAAATACATTCCATTTAGCTTAGTTCTTCAAACATTTTTTTATTTAAACAGATAAAGAAGAGTGGGTTGAAGGAATGCAGAAAATGAGAAGTATCTAAATTTGAGCAAGATACCTACTAATCAAGTTAACTCCAACGTGTTTTGCCCTTAGCCATAAATATATCCCAAACAAGATCAACAGGACCAGGTAAAGAAGAGATGAACAACAATTACAGATCACTTCATATTTAGCAGACAAACAAAAGTACGTAAGAAAATAAATATTTAATATATTACAGGGCCACTCACATTAGATTTTTTTTTATACAAACGGAAAAATATTAGACCACAGATGACACACAAGTTCCGGATAAGTTTAAAGATAATAAAACAGGTAATACAGTAAAAACACTTTAAAATTTTTTGAGATGTCATCAATATAGCCTATGGGAGCATCCAATGAATGAGAAAAAGGCAGATTTGGTGAAGATATAATATATAAGAGAGCATATGAAATCCACAATAAACTCCTAATTGAGCCACTTTGTCTCAAAATTTTTTCTTTTATTTTTCTTTTATCCTGCTTAATTAACTGTTTAACCGGCCAAATGACATAAATCAGCAAAATTTTAACCAGACGTTTCTTCAAGCTAACTGAAATTCCAGCCGGAAAGAAAAATTAAAAAAGGACCAACCCATCTTTGAATCCACAATAGAAGCTCAACAAATCATTCATATTTACAGGGACCAACCCACATTCACCAGTTTCTAATCTAACATACTCAAAACAAAAACCCCATTTGAGAAAATACAAATATATCAAATATAAACAGAGCCCAGATAATTAAAAAAAAAAAATCCCAAAAGATCTCATCTTTGAATCCAAGAATAATCACGATAGACAAATCCAAGGCAAACCCATTTGTCTTCACCATCACAAATCACACATACCTTCGGTTTTGAAACCAAACTTTGATCTGTTTAGGTTCAATGTTGGAAAGAATCGGACACTCCCTGATGAGCTGTTGTCTCCTCAAGGAACTAGGTTTTGGACACTCGGCATAAACTCTCTCGAGAGCATCCACTTGCTCCGGTGTGTACCTAACGTACTTGCTCGCGTCCATTTGTTGCTGCTGTCTGCTGTTGCTACTCTCTCTGTGCATAGAAAGGGCCATTCAGCGAAAAATCCCAGAAAGCTAAAGCTGCAATTTTTTTAGTAATTGCATGAATAGGCGGGCTCTCTTCTCACAGAGAGCCACCTCAATCAGGCATCAAGACTCAGTTTTTTGGATTTTTTCTTGTTTTGTGCTCTTTCAATGGAGTTCCTTTGTTTTTCTTCTGTTTTTTTTTTTTTAAGTAATATACGTTTTGTAGCTAGCAAGATGATGATTTGGGAAGTGGGGGACTAATGTTTTGAAATGGAATGATAATGGTAGCTAGAGAGAGGTCCCGTGGTTGTTTTTTATTCCGAATATTCAGATAATAAGAGAGAGAGAGAGAGAGAGAGAGAGAGAGAGTTTAAACCAAACCCACAGGAAAAAGTAAAACAAGATGGGATAGAAGAAGAAAACAAAAACTTCGAGGTTTAAAGGAGAATAGCAAAGTGCCACAAAGTTCAGAAGTTTGGCCATTGTAGTCAAATTCTTGTACGAGTTCTCGTAATTATTATACGGATTCTTAATTTTTGTAATAGAATGTATATTTATATTACAAAATACCATTTTTGTTTTCATGTTGTTTTTAAAAATACAATTTTACGGTTTAGAAAAGTACGCATATTTATTGCAATCATATGAATAGTGTGTAATCACACTGAACGAGCCGAACTTGAGCATTTTTGTTCGTGTTTTTCATTCGAACATTGTTCGTGTACAATCGTTATTATTTGAGAAAAAAAATGTGGTTCTTTATTTAATTGGTTGTCGAAGTTCGAGATTTGTTCGATCAAACCCAAAATAAAAAATAAAATGAAAATATTTTTATATTTTAATCTATTATTAAAAATAACATACATATAAATCTATACTAAAATAATGTTCACAAAAAATATTAAACATTCAAGAACGAGCTCACGCTTGTTCAACTATTAAATGAGCTTAAGTTTCTGTTCAGACATGACTCGATTAATAGTCGAGTTCTGTCGACCACAAACGCGTACCAACGAAGTATGGTGGTGATCTTTTTCGTTAGTTGACAATTCTAAGTGTCTAATTGTTGGATTATCTCCAACCCTTATCTCTACCCTAGCGCGGATTTTGCACTACTCTAGAGTAGAGTGAAACATTCGTCTCCAATCTTTATCTCTACATTTTACTCTACATCAAATATATTATTTTTTTTTTATTTTTATTTCAAATAAATTGATATATATATGTATATTTAATCTTATATAAATGTTTACTACTCAAATAATAATAATGTATTTTATTTATTTTTATTTCAAATAAACTGGTATATATATGTATATTTAATATTATATAAAATGCTTATTACCTAAATAAATAAAAAGTACAAAATTATTTAGCATAAAAAATACATTGCACAAAGTTACTTAGTATAAAAATACATAAAAAAAAACTGGCGTAAGTGAACAGTGTTGCGCTAGAACTAGCGCAACACTATTCATGCATGTATCTGATATAGCGCTGGATTCTAACGTGGGACTGGAGCACAAAACCTATGCTACTTCACAGTAATAAGCAACTCCAACGCAGTGTTGGAGTTGCTCTTAGTGTTATAGTTATACTGATGTATAAAACTATTTTTCTTGAAAAAGGCGTGGGCAAGTTTTGCAAGTGTAGTTCATTGTCAAATGAATATACAATGATGACAATAAAATGAAAAATGCAATATTTTAATATAAATTTCCAAACGAATATATTTTTCTCAATTCTTGACATGAACTTATTAAAAGTCAGTACTAACAATTTTTTTTTTTTATGGAATGGAAATAAGAACTTTCTACAATCTAATTGTGTCAAGCTAATTGACAAAATCAACCGAAAGTTCGCGTCACAATCATTCATTATTCTTTTTATGATAATAATGTAATCAAAATCAGCTATCTAAATTTCACCAATATATGTATAAGTCGTTATTCTTTTCATTATAATAATGTCATCAAAACCAGCTATCTTCATTTCACCAATATATGTATAATTTGATAAGCTAGTTGGTAAATACATCCCACAAATTCGATTAACTGTATCTTTTCGGATGTGATTGGTTATAAATTTTTTCATTCCATACTAAATTCATACTCAAAATCTAACTCAATATCACTATTTTAATTATTATTATTAATATAATTAAATAATATCAATCAATCATCTTTACAATTCACGCTAATTTTAATTCACCGTTCATCTACTCACATAATTTTAATTTTTAATTAATCATCACTTTACATCATCTCTCTCATTCTTTACGTCAAATCAATTTTAATTAATTTATTTTAAATATTATTTTAATATAAACTCAAAATCACTAACAAATAACTATATAACTTTTTTTTCAAAATCAACTTTAATTAGGCAAAAAAACTCTGTTTTGAGGGAATATATTTGTGTCAATCACGCCCTAAGAGAGCTCACTAATTTTCACCAGAACTTCTAAAACTTGATAGGTAAACTAATCCTACTGTTCTGACATAAATGAGTTTGAATTTTGTTCATAAGTTCTTTTTTTGGCAATTCAAAATAGGTCCTTTAAGCCATCAAGCACGCTGAGTAGTGGCAATTGGCATAATCATTTTTGGATATTTATTAATAGCACACATACATTTAATAGAAATTAGAAAGAGAAAGTGTATATGTACAAAGATGGAAGTATTAAAGAAACAGCAAACAGTGAAAAGATTTGAGAGAGTAAATAGAAGGCAGAGGGTCTACCTTTATTGGAAGCAGATATGCAGACCCATTTTTAGGTAATATAGACTTTGCAGCTGTGTAAACCTGTAGCTTTCTGTAGAGCTTAAATATTCATTTAAATTTAAAATNCGCAAACAAGTTAACTGATCAATTCGATTGTTTTTTTTTTTTTAAATCCATACAAGAATAAGCAAATAATAAATTGGTTGTTAATGAACAAGGTGAGCTTGGCTCCCTTAACATCAAGCTCAATTAGTTATCTGAGCGAAACCTGTGATTGGTTGTATAATAAATGGCCCAGATCGTCCAAATTAATAAATATATAAAAAGTTTGGTTCGATCTCTACTTGTTTAACTTCGCAGAAATTTAGTTCAACTCATTTAATAAATCTAAAATGCTAAATGAATTTTTCTACGAAACGTTCATTAGCAAACAAGTTTGGTTCGGTGATTTTAGTTAAAATTCATATAAGAATGTAAAAAAAAAAAATGACTTGTTCGCGATCAAGCTCAGCAAGACTCGTTTAATAAATAAACTCGATTAGTTGTTCCAACGCGTCTTGCATAAGTAAACGAATGAGTTGTGCTCGAGTTTTCATGAGTCGAACCAGAGTATGTATAACAATGTCTCGATTCGAATAACAACCACATATAATTTGAATTAATCATACAAAATTTGATATAAGCTCCACTTAACATATGCTCTCCATTTTTTACTTTTACAATGTTGATATTCCAAAAAATATATATATATATATANACACTTAAAACAACAATCCAATTCACAACGAAAAGATCCAAATTAACTTCCAATTCAACCCTCAATGAAGTGACCACCTTTGAAATTAACCAATTTCAAAATTATGATAAATAGTTTGTGAATTGTGATGCATGTGGCATGATGTCATTTGCACATCGATGTCCATGGCAGGCATAAGGACATAGGAAATTATCATGTACAGCATATAGATACACTTACATTACATATACGTTCAGTTTGTTGCGTGATGTCTGAAACAAACATAAGACTGTAGAATATTAATTGATGGTAAAAACAAACTTTGACAAACCTTAGAATTTTTTATTTTTTATTTTTTTCAAACTTTTTCACTGTTGGGATCTTTTATTGCCTGGGCTTTTGGATTATTGCATTTGAAGGTTTGGGTTAGTACGGTGGATTCGGAAATGCACTGTATGGGCCCGATGGGCCCACGTGCTTTGACCCTGGTAAGGTTCAATAGCATTGAGTTTTTTTTTTTTAGTTTGAAATATTAATTATTGAGATGTTATTTAATAGTATATTTACTTATTTATTTTGTCATTGTATGTGATAACTTGACATCTGCTTGATATATTATTTATATTAGTTAAAAATTTGTAAGATGGTTTTAGACTATAAAGGGTATAATCAAAATATTATTTAAGGGTGTAATTTGATCGCCACACCTTATCCCAATTTGTATTTCGTTTTTATTATTTATTTTATTTAATTTTAAATACGATGATAAGTTCAAATTTAATTGAATTTTTTTGTTCGTATTAATTGTGTCATATTTTAGGTTGTGTTGTGTTCATTGTGTTATTGATCTTTATAATAGTGTATTTCTAAATGCATTGTGTTGTATTCGTATTTCGCATCGTGCTAACCATTATCACTCATGAACTTATTTTGAATAAATTTCATGGTTAATTAATTGTTTGGATGTGATGACCTACTCAAGTTAAAAAATGCTAGCTATAATAATTACTCAATTAGTTCTTGATTTATATATATATATATATATATATATATATATATATATATATATATGTGCCACTTTTATAGGAAAAAGTAATTTCTACACTTATGACGTCTTATTTTATAAGTGCTTACAGTCAAAATATCAATTTGATTCACCATGTATTTATCAAGTAAAATGTTTGTCCTGAATTATTTTCATTGGACATTATATTGTACTCTATGCTACTTTCTAGCATCATGAATACCAAATAAAAATATATATAATGACATCATCACCAATTGCCACTCTTACTATTTAACATCACATGAGGGTTCAAGAAAGAGACAGTTCAATATGAAATAAAATACCTTTAATTTAAATTTTTTTATTTAATACTCGCATTCTTCATAAAATAAAAGATATAAAATATTTTGTAATTCCTAAATATAATTATAGATGCCGCAGCGTGCAGCATGCTTCCACAAACATGAGATCATTGTTACGTTTCTTTCACTATTTTATCGGACCCACAAAACATTAAAACCTCTTAAATATATAAAATTCATTATCTCATATTTTGCAAGTTTCGCATTTTATTAAAAAAGAATTTTATAAATAAATCAAAATTTAAGAAAAAGAGAAACACCATATATTGAACGTATGAACCAATTATCAATGACAATATGACTATTAAAATGAAACGGGCAATCCGTGATCTCGACTCGTAAGGGGCGACTGACCGTAGACTAAAATCGATTTTATTACATAATTTTAATTATATATCATTTACAATAATTTATATTTTATTTTTATATCACATTGACTTTAATCATTGTAATTTAAGTATTGCTTAAATCCAAACTCAAGTGTCAAGCAATATTCCATTCAATCAAC